CACCACGTCTCGCATCACTTGGATCTCCGTCTCCTCATCCATGCTCTGTCCCGCCTTCGCACCCTGCCGGTCCGGGGCCGCAAGGGCCAGCACTTCGCACACCGGAGCAACTCCAGCACACGGATTCGCTTGGGGCAACACCGTGAATCAAGGGTCACAATGCTGAACACTTCAATGGAAATCCCCTGCCACGCCCATCGGCGACGAACGACGAAGCGATTGTGGCCACCAAATCCCTGGCCCGCAAGGAGCCCCACCCAGAGCGGTGCGTTTTCCATTCAAAGTCCCTGGACGCCTTCCGCTTCACGTTTCCAAAGATCTCCTGCCGGGTGGGGTCATGCATGTCCTTCTCTGCAGTGCTCGAATGACTATGAAGCACGGTGAAGAACAAAGGTCCCTCAATCTCTAAGTTAAAAATCCAAATATAAAATAGAACACTATGTGTATATATATATATTATATATATATATATATTTGATTCTATCCAAAGTCTGTTGAAATTTGATTCTATCCAAAGTCAGTTCAAAAAGAGAACCCGGCGTGGGAAATGCACTACAGTAATTACACAAGCCACCACAGTGCTCCAGCGCTCCAGCTACGGCGTACAGAGCTTCCAGATACGTCGCCAGACGCCCGGGCCGCCGCCACGGCCGGCCCGCCGCCCGCGCCCATCGGCTCCTGCGCCCACTCCATGATGGGCCCTGCAGCCTCCCGCAAGGCAGAGGGCTTGGTGAAGTCCTCGGTGTTTTTCGGCGGCGCCAGGAGTTGGGCGCCAGGAGTTTGGTGTATCTGTCCATCGATGAATCAACGATTTTTCTGGCCAAGATGGAGCTTCGTGGACAGAAGCAGGGTGGTTACAGTACATAGATTGTGTCAGATTTCCACCTCCCCCAAAACCAGCCCCCGAAACCCACCAAAACCCCAATTCCACGCCCACCGAGCCAGCCGTGTGTTGTTTGCGCTTCTCTCACCTGGATCGGTCAGTCCAAACCGTGGGACCCTCCAAAACCGCGCCTCAATGAGTCGATAGGCGATGTCCTGCTCCGCCTCCGGCGTCGGCTCGTCGGCCGCCCCGCAGCAGCGCCCGCGGAACTCGCGCACCTCGGAGGAGGAGCGGAGGAGCGGGGAGGAGCGGTGGATTTGAGCACCGGCGATTGTTTGCTTCTTTTTTGGGGGGGGCGGTGGGTTTGTGGGTTCGTGGATGGGACACCTAGTGCTTGAAAGAAAGAGAGCAGACAACAGCAGCAAAACGACTCAGGAGATTGAACAGCTGTTTTGGCTCTATCTACAATGCGATTGATTGGTATGTTGGAGGGTGGTTTTTTTTGGCCTGGAGGTCGATCGTTATCTTTCTGAAAATAATGTGGCAATAGATTTGAGCTATTGACAATACTCAACAGCAAAAGCCGCTTTGCCTACCTTTTTGGATCTCAAAGCACATCAATCGCTCTAAAGAACCTTTCGACTGGGAAAATCCGGGATTGTGTCAGAAATGTATGTCATCCCGTGCCACCATCATACTATTCAGGCACGAAATCCTGCGCTGCAACCGCAGCCACTTCAGAAACCCTGGGAATACACGACCGATTCTAAACACTCTGGAGAAAAGGGACCTCCATTGCAGGTTATTGCATAAATGGTCCAACGTACAACTTGGGGTGATCTGACCAACATATCTCTGGGCATGCGGCCAGAGACTTCCAAAAATCCCTGGGATGAAATGGCAGAAACTTCAAGCTGAGAGTGCGAGCCCCTCCCCATGAGCCGCAACATCAATGGGGGGGCAACCCTCCACCCTTCACCCTTCACCGCATTTTCAGAAAACCGTTCAAGCACCGATGACAGAAAAGACTGTTGCAACATGGAAGCGTCAAAACAAGGGGAAGCTTGCCACAGAGGAGGCTCTTGAATGAACACCTTTACCCGGCAAAAGGCTGCCACATCTCTTTCCACTTGAAGCGAACATGAACTTCCTGTGGACTTCTACTGGTAGAATGTGTTTCTGATCTCATAGATTTCCGGTTTGCGGCCTCTATCTGAGTGAGGGCCGAGGCCCCCCACCCTACGACACCAACCCAAAGCATCTCTTGCCGTGCGATGCAAAGCCCGGTGCCTGGCGTGACCTCGCTCGCTCAGCCCAGGCCCAAACGGTGCTGTCCAGGCACCCCGGTACCACTGCGCACCCGTCGTTCCAGATCTTGCTTGGCGCGCCGATTCCGATCCTCGGCCGCGGGACGTCTTCCGGCACGCGGCAGACTCGACCGGACGGAACATAAGAGCTTTTGGGCTTCATAGCCAGGGGTCCATCTCTGAAGAGGCTGTTTGGGGAGCTGACTCATTTTCCCAACCAGCCAAAGCTGTGCCAAGACTTAGCAAGGAGGAAGGAGATGTGGCTTTCTGGGTCGAAGCAATGGTTCGGACTATCAGAGTTTGGGGCCCTTTGTGGATGGATCACCCAGCAGTCCTACATTGGTGAAGGCGGTGATGCTCACCTAAGACCTAAAGCCTTTAGGCGATGACAACGACCAGCCAGACAGACAGCTGTCTGGAATTCATATGAACTCTGCACGAAGAATGGAGCGATCTGAAAACTACTTGGTAGATGTAGCCGAGAGCGGGTGCCCATCTGCATTGCGCTGGGATGAGCATGAGCCGTGGTCAATAAGCCCGCTGGCATAGAGCTTTAGAGTCTCCGTTGGTTGATAGTAGTAGGGGGGGATATCAGGGAGGGTAGAATTCCTGCTATATAACTTTAAACTTTAAACTCAAGGGAAGGTTTAGAGAGTGCCAGGGAGGCATCAAGAGTCAGTCCGGTGCACGATCAAAGGCCTCTGGCCCTGCATGGAGACGGTGCCCTCAAGATAATCCAGAGAATAACTGTGGTGTTACCCAAGCACTCGACAATGGAGGGTGCGTTTTAGAGTAGGGCATAGGGAGACCTACCAATTGCTGAGTGTGGTTGAATTTCTTCTTGCAGGGGGGGGATCTCCCTATTTCAATACACGCCATTCCAAAAATGCCCCGTTACGTGGCCTCAGTGACCCGTTAAGACGCCAAGGCACATTGAGAATCTCCTGGAGGATCTTGACCTCAGGTGTTGCACCGTGACCAGACAAAAAGAAAGTGTCGCAAATGAATGAAACCATCTTCCGGAGCCGTGGCGATCGTCGTGGCACGTTCCAAGTTCTGGGAGGAGACTTTGTATCTCCGCACCCCAAAAAAAAGAAACTGCTTATGAACTGCTCCACTGGAGAAAACAACAAGAAACAAGGACAAGGTCCATGCACCGGTGCAGTGCTTCTGAAGTTGTTTGTTCGTCTGCAGGTCGAAGGGACTGTGGAGTCGATCGTCGCCTCATCCCAATCCTTCTTTCCAGCTTCGGCCACCTTGACACGTTCAGCAGCTTCCTGAGGCCCGGCGAAGCGCCGTTCCCGACCCGGCAACCGCGGGAACCCCGGCGAAGCGTGGCGTACCGCGATGGACGAGGACGGCCGTACTGCAACATTCTGTGCGAGAATGCCACGGGAAAACTGGCTTGTTTGGGGGACCCTTCCCCTTCTTGACCGGGTTGAGTGTCTCTTGAAAAAAAGAAGAACCTTTAAACGTTAAAATTGGAAAAGTCAAAAAGCTTGCTTTTTAGGCAAAAAAAACAAATGAATAGAATCGAAACAACAAATTAAGTTGACACAACGCTCAAAAGAAACGAAGAAACCCACACAAACGGTATGGTCGAGAAAGGACCCACGATCATGGTCGGTTCACACAGTCACAGAAGGCTTGCTTGGTCTTTAACAGAACAACGAAAGCAACAAAAAGGAGAAATTGGCTCCTTCCGGAATTGATACAGTCCTTCAAAGATTCTCTTGATTTCAACTTTTTGATACCAAAATGATACCAACTTCATCCCTCCTTAGATTTCTCAAGAATCGGCAGCTGCTTCCAATGCGTTGTGGTTCCTAAACCTGCAAACAGAACTTCCTGGCCATCGCCTTTCCTGAAACCTCCCAGAAAACGATGCGTTCCTTCGCAAACCCCATGCAATGCCCACTCGGAAGTCACCGTCCGCTCGCCGTTCGCGCGCGAGACAAATGCCTCCGGCAGTCGGTCACGTCTTTAGACGACGCCTCAGCCGCCTCAGCCGAGCTTCTTTGGAGATGGCCTTCTCAAGAAAGCCTCCCTGCATGCTGAGATCTGCTAGGACAGCGAATCCGCCAGGTTCAGGCGCACGAACCGACACACAGCGTGGGAGGCATGGAGTGCGAGGCAACTCCCAGTCAGCTTGGTTTCGTGAGTCCTCTTGCTGTGTTACCTGGAAACCAAAAGCACTTCCGCGCATATATTCTCTTCTTGGTCAGAGAACACCAAGCACACAACTTGGCGCCAAAATTGATCTTATATGTGTCATAAGTTATGTGTGTATGATGTAAAATATGTTTAAATATCTATCTACAATTTCCGCTCTTCATGCTTCACACGTTCTGCTGTGCCCGTCTGCTTGGTCATTCCAATTCAAAGCTCTAAGGCTGCAAGAAGCAAATCTCACAAAAGGTATGTTGGCACTATCTCGAGTCATGTCAGCTCACCATGACACCCGACTCCAAAACCCTCAGCTTTCGGAGTTGCCGCAGTTGCCTTTAAGAAGCAGAATCCCTCGTTCGTTGATGTCCATCATCAACCATTTGCACAAGGATTTGATATTCTCCGACCCATATAGGACTTATGTATATACCTTCCTCCGTTTGCAGACGTCACGACAAATAAACACATTATGTTCTACCAACTCACGTTTCCGCTTGTCAGTAGAGGTGTCATTAATGGCAAGTTCATCATCTTGCAACCACCCCAACTGCTCCAACTCCATAAAGTTGACTCGTTCACCCTACCTGAGAAGGCATGATTCAACATAAACTGAAACTGAGCAGAATCAAATGTGCTTGTCTTCTTGATACCTTCCCAGTTGCTCCTTTCCTTAAAAAAGTTAAAAAGAAAACAACCGCCGCCTTTGTCCGGGTTGCACTGGACCTCCTTGTATCGGATATTGGACCTCCGCTCGAAGTCCGATCGGCTCGCAGTCGGGGATGTTGGCAGCGACCGAAGCGACTTGATGTGGGGAGGTACCTGGCCGGCCTACCTCGCCGGCCTACCTGGCCGGGGGCAGGTCATCCCTAAGCTTGAACTATGTGTTTACCTCCTGAAACCTGATTTCATAGGTGTCCAAGGCCGGTCTAAAAAGGCCAAGCTTGCCACCATGATCAGGTTTGACCAACCGATTCATCCAGGGGAGTGTTTTTTTCCAGCGCTGCCGGCCGTCTCCTCTGAGCGCGCCCGGCATGGGCATCTTGACATCGCCAAAGGCGGACGCCAAGCCTGGAGCCACCTAGGGAGGCAGCGAGGCGTGGCGCAGCGCGGCGCGGCGCGGCGCCGTTCTCCGTCGGTGCTTCGTTTTCCGAGCCCAAGGAGTTGAGGAAAACAGTCGTGAGTCCCAAAAAAAACAGCCAATCAATCCACAAGCCACACTGGATGGACTCTTGGCCAGCCTTTTCTGTTGTGCTCTATTTATCTTCCTCATGTTGGATTCTGCAGAGCACTAAAGCAGTCTTCGGAATTCGAGCCAAGGTTTGAGGGGGGTATGGCTGCCTCATAAATGCGTGGCAGGTTTTGTGTGTATAACTCTTCGCGCGGTGAAAACCTGAAGTGTCTTTTCGGTAAAACGGGCCCCACTTGTGGGGATGCTGCCTTCTTTGCTACCCCAACAGAGTTAAAGAGGAAAGGAGACCAGTGCAAATCCCGAGTATTCTTGCTATGTGTTCTGTGCATGACCCATCGACCGTCGTCGCCCCTTGAGGCAACTGCCATGGAAGCTGCAGCACCCAGCAATGCTCGGCGTGGCAACTGGACCGACCGCACGGACCGACCGCACTCGAGACATGAGACCGCAACGCTGCAGCAGAAGGCATATTCTTGAAGCACATCATCCAGCATCATCCTATCAAGTTCGGGGCCACAATAGCCACTCACTGATGTCAAGCTTCCGCCTAGGTTATTGTGATCTGTTGTCCTTTCAATTGACCAATGATGGTTTCACCGAGAGCCGCCAGAAGCCTGGCTATCATGTGGGTCTTGGGCGCTTCTTTTGTCTCTCCTTTGGTCCAACGATCCCCGAATGATTCGATTTAAGTGGATCGTTGGGTGGCTTTTCGGGTCGCCTTTTCCCTGGCTTTGGTCCTTTGATCCAAGCCTTTGGTGGCTTTTCTCTTGGTGCTCGAGTTCTGCGCAAGCGCCCGTGCGTCCTCTCTCGCGTCTGCTTGGCGATCTCTGCCCCGAAACCGCGGCGAACACACCACCGAACCTCTCTTACTTGGCTGGTCGGGCGCGGCCGCTTTTTGTCCTGCCTCTCTTGGGGCACTGGGCAAGAGCCAAGCGGAGCTAACGCCAAACGCAGTCAAGGCCTTGGTGTCACGCCCCGGACTGAGTCATCGCCAGAACATGAGGTGGGTCATGCGTCATCGCCTAAACACATGTGGCGAACACGAAACTAGCTGAAGTGAATTGTAAATGGATGTTCATCTCCTTCCTCATTGTCCCGGAAAAATGTTCAAGACTCATGTACATCTGTGATGATGTGTCAGTCATGCCTTCAAAAGGGGAGGATCGCAATGTGGCACAGTTCCTTCAACTGCTCCCTTTTCCACCATCTACTCCGAATTCATTGATCCAGATTGGACTCTCTCTGCTCGGACTGCGGTGGGGCTTGGAACTTGGTTCAGTTTGAACTACCAATCTGCGCCCGGGGTTGTTTTCAAGACCAGTAGAATGCCCCCCCACCAACCCCGCAAGACGTGACCGCCTCGTGCTGAACTGGAAGAAAGGGAATTCGGCTGTAGAGAACGTGTAGAGTGTAGACCGTTGGAGACCGTTGTCGTGTGTCAGTTGCGCAGTTGAGCATCACTTGGTTGACATGGTTATTCCTTCGGATCAAAAAATGTGAAATCTGCTGGGTCAACAGCACGCCCGCGACCCACCCTCCTGAGCAGTGGCCCCCTGCCAGCACGGCCACTGGTGCCCTGCTTCTGCCTCCAGTCCAGTGTCTGCACTTCTCAAGCAAAAGTGCTGCCCCGCTCAAAAACTGGTTGATATGGACCTGAGATCTTATGGGCGCAGTTCTAGAAGTCCCAGTACATCCACTGAACATAATCCACTGTTCAATGAATTGGCAAGGATGTCCAAGGCACATTCTGCCCAGCAACAGCCGGGCAAGTACATGCAAGTAGCATTGACAATTCCACCGGATTTATTGAACCATGAAGATCCACTGGATCTTAGATTCGTATCTATTCTTGAAGGCCTTCATTCTTCAGCCAAGTCCACCAGCTTTGCAGAACGCGTGACTCGTACCCACAGCTCCAGACAAACCAAAGACAAAAGGAGCTCACTCTCGGGAGAAGGATTCACTCTTCAGCTGCCAAAATGACGTGTCTGAGTCTGAGTAAAAGCAAAAAGTAAAGAAGTATGATTGGGGCAAATGCACAAATGTTGGGGGGCCTGGATTGTCTGATTTAGTTGCCTGCCTTGTTGCTGACGTAGTTGTGAAAGGCTTCTGAGATCCACCCAAACAAAGTACCATGGGTATATCCCATTACCAGTAATAGTGGAATGTTTTTTCCGCTTTGCATCTTAACGAAGTGAAGTGATTTTCACTTCCAGACAGTTGGTCAGTGTTCACGTACCAACAACCTAATCGAACTAATTACAAATACGAAGGCATGACCGAAATGCAGTAAATGTGGCACACAAGAAGGACCGAGTCTTCCATGAGAAGACAATGCTCAAATGCAAGAAGCGAACTTCAATGCTGCTGGTCCTGAATGTAAGACACAATCTGTTCAAAAGACTAATGCAAGGACTCTGGGTGTTTTGGCACGGGCAAGCCAGAAACACGCCAATGCAAATTGAGATGCCGAGCAGGCGGTGAAGATTGTTTAAGATATGCATCAAGGGCAACAGCTGAATCGAAGGCAGAAGCTAGCAAGGGTCGCCCCTTGAGGGCAGGAAACCAGCCTCTAATGCCAATCCAGTTGAGCTCATCTGTGCGATCAATCTTTTCACGGTCATGTCCAGAAAGGTACACACCTTGAGTGTGTAACCACTTGAGACAAAGAATGAAAATTCTTGATTGTGCCGCCAAAGTTTGTGGACCTTTGGCGTCAGCATCCCTGGAAACATCTTGTAATCTAAAATCCGAAACCCCCTTCCAAGAATGTGCTTTCCCGGGGGCCATGTTGACTGGCGAAACAGATCTGGTTGTTACAGAAAAATCAAGGTACAAGAACGTGCATAGGGGGCTACGAGTATTGCAAGAACAGTGTTTGTCCACACCGCAACTGTCTGGCCCATCAAAGGACCCGAAAGCAGAAGATAGGGTGGTATGGGCACCGTTTGCCTAAGTCCATGCACCGTTTGGTTCAGATTAATGCTCTTCACACGAGAGCATGGCGCCCATTTGATCTGGGCAGTGGCAAGAACACCAGTAACAGTGGATGATGATACTTCGCTAAGGCCTTGTTCAAAACTAGTGCCAATTATTGACCGACTGTTACAGGCCACTTTGGACAGACCTAAACAAACTACCCAGCACCCATCCACCGGGCCTCTCTCCATGCGGACCCGGTGCCTGGGAAAGCGACTCCAACGACTGGTGTTCGTTCTGTTCGCCACCGGTTCACGGGGCATCCGCCGTGACTCTCCCATTGGAACGGTGCCGGAACGAAGGTCTTCGCGGAGTTCCCGCCTGACGAATGCCATGGGTACATGCCCGTCTCCAGGAACCAACGCGATCGTGAGCTCATGTAAATCACATGATGTTCCAGAGCTCTTCCGACAAGAGAGACAGCACCGCTGTGGTGAATCCGATGTGGGAGTGGCAACTCCAATGAAGTGAATGCCTAAACAAATGACCACGGTACCACACACTGGCTGATGAGGAAGTTAGGAAGTGCTGCCTCAAATGGTGAAACCAGTTCACCAGTCATGTCTCGCCTCGTTGCCATCCTACCCACACACAACCACCCACATGTTGCTTTGGGGTGGTTCTGAGCCTTGAAAATGACTGAATAATGGACTAAGACTCGTTCCAGAAAACCCAGCGCATTGCCAGCCCCTTAAAGACGGTCAAACCCGGTAGACCGGGTCGCCGCCGGTCGCCGTTTGCCCGGTCGCCGTTTGCCCGTTGGATTCCTTTTCCGAGAAGCTGAATCTCCATGGTGCCGGCCCGAGCTCGACCCAAACAGCTGCAGTTGAAGGAAGAGGGACTGAAGATGAAGGAAGGGCTGCCTGTTCAGAGCACCTAGAAAACCACTCCATCCAGAGCAATTCTTAGAACTCTGTCTGCTGGGACTCCCTTCTGACTAGGCCTCTCGGCTGGGCTCCGAACCTGGGGGCCCGATGCTGGGGACTCCGAAAAACTTCAACTCTCCACCCATTGGGATTCTGCAGGTACACTGAGCGGTGGAACCCAGTGGAAAAAGGTGGAAAATTAGTCCTTTGTCCGTCTCCAACATCCGTTTCTCAGATCCGCAACGCAACGACGATCTGTACAGTCCACCGTACGTACGTCGAGAGCGGATTGTGGACACCCGGCATCGAACCTGTACTCCAGCTGAGACCTGTTCACCTATTGTAAGTGTGGTGGATGTTTTACATTTCGACCATTTCGACCCAGTGTCAATGGGTTTCTTCTCAAGATATGGGGACCAAAAATATGGGAACCACTTGGCAACTGACCAGGTCCCCAATCCAAGAATGTGTCAAAGACTGGAGGTACTGGAACTGGCCATGTAGGAACTGGAACTGTCTCAGCCACTGACTGGATTGAGATTCAACTTCAACAGGATTGGGAGCCGCTTCAATTACTTTACGTTCTAGGCAACAACCACAAGCTTTTTCTGCATCTGCTGTAACGAATTTAATGCAGAAAAAAGTCTGAGATCCTTTCCACACTGTTTCCCTATTGACACAGTGCTGGTTTTTGGATGCTTCGTTCTGATGAACGCAGGTACATTTATGCCATGCCATTCCAGAAGAGAGCAGGGACTCTCAAGCACAACTTTTCATGCCTTGTCAACCACTCAGCCAGGACCAGGAATCTTCGGACTTCCGAAGAGCCTTCGGTCCTGTCCCGTGGACTTGGCCCTACTAGACACTGGGCTGAAGGGATTGGGTCCAGAAACGGGGCCCAATCCTAATGGGTCCTACCATCACAACGACAGTTGATCGATGTTCAGTTTGTTCCGTGAAGCGGCGTGATGTTGGCCACGGCAAGTCCTAATCCGATATGACGTGGAGAGGCGCTTTCTGTATTTCTATAATACCTCCATGCTACCAGAGGAAACTCCACCCAAGACTTGGTCTTCTTTGGCGGACTTGTTTGGACTTGTCAATCTGCAAGGGCTTGGCTGACAGCGCGATCGGATGATCAACTGCCTGTTTCAGAAAAGGCATGGGCCACAGCTTCGGTTCCGTGGAACCAAACCTGCAGCCGAAGTCCACAACTTCTTCAGCGTGTAAAAAAAATGCATGGAGCTCCACCGAATGATAGACGTTTCTTTAGAGATGTTCTACCTATGGTTTTCGATGGATGGTCTTCGATGGTTCATGCTGTTTGCGCATGATGTTATCATAACCCATATGATGGTGCAAGTGCTAGCAGTACACCTCAAGCAAAGCAAACTCAAACAAAAATCAAATTATAAACAAACAAACACATGTCTGTTATTTGTATAACACCTGATCATACAAAACATGAAACCCAGAGCAACTATTCACAAGCACCACATCTACTAGAAACCATGGAAAATGCTGCGATTTGCGAACCTCGCTTGTCCGCACAGCTTGGCACATCCAACTCGCCACCGCCGAGCGAGCTCGCGAAAGCGATTCGAGCTGATTCCATCGAAAAAAAAAATCGCTTGTATACTGTTTCTTCGAAAAATAAACGGAATGCGCTCTTGACATTCTTTGGATGGGTTTGGGGAATTCGCATGAGTTGAATTGTCTTGCTTCTCCAGTATTCATCCATGAGCAAAGCATCCTCTCATGGCTCGAGCAGATTTGCTTCTGGCTCCACACACCTTTTCTGGCCAATTCCCGGCAAGCTTTGGTCCAGGGGACTACCCCCCCACTTTCAGCTTGCATCGGCCAACCTTCGGTTGGAGGCTGGATTACACAGTAGTGCAGTCATGCACAACCCAACCTCCAGACTATGCTGCGCTGAACTCAACTTCTGGCCCGGCCCCAACCGCTGGGGGAACGGGCGGATGGACGTGAATCGGACGTGAATCAGACGGAAGGAAGTGATCGGCTATACACCCTGGCATCGAAATGAATTCCAAAACTTCCAGAGACCGCATGAGATCATGCACTTCGTACATCGTCTTCAAAAAAGTTGATTTCGCACAAGGGTGTAGAAAGTGATGTAGAATGGAAGGGTGTCCAGGTGCCAGGATTGACATGTAATTTTCATCTCTTCTTCCTTTGGGTCTCGGGGAAGAAACGGTTCACCGACTTTGGGGTCAAATGACCAGCGTGATGACTTCATGAAGCAAAAAGTGCATGTGGTCACCGATGAAGCGAGAAGCGCACACGTGGATGTGAAAAGAAGAGGAGTCGTGGGACAGCCCCCGAGGCCTGCAAGCCAACCAAACGTGATCGAAAGGGTTCTGCAGGTCTTTGGTTTGACCCAGGTCTCCATCTCGAAAGCTGGACCAATCAGAAATTCCTGAGGTCTCTGAAAGCCTTCATGGTTACTGTAGCAAAAGGAAAAGTACACGAGACTCTTGTCCCAAGCTGCCAGCCACACCAATACAATCATGCACAGGTCCAGCCCTTAGCTGTGCACTGCAGAAGGTGCAGGTCCCAGCAAGTTTCGAGCAACGCTGGGAGAGGAAATAGCTGAGAACCCTGTGAATCGGCAATTCCTCTGACACTGAGTCTCACAACCGAAGTTCTTGGAATATGACTAAGAAGGCGTGCTGCCAAGGAGCTCTGTACTGTTCAGGTGCATTGCCAAGCTCTTCCTGCCAACCAGTCATGGGATACAGTGTTGAAATCTCTGCAACTCCAGTCATCAGAGTTTCTTCTGGTTGCATACTCCATATTGGCAACCTCTCCGGTCCAAAAACATTGCTAATCTTACCTGAGGCAACCCAGCCACCATGACAACTGCTCCTTTGAGAAATGACTCTGTTCGGCAGAACACCCCGCAAGTGTGCGGAAATTCGTGAGAAAATCAGATGAGAGTTCAGTAGTTCGGGCTCCCCTTGATTCTGAGACACCTTCCTTGCTTCCTCAAGCTCGACAGCCAGTCCACCATGGCTCACATGATTCACCAGCCCACAAGACCACAGAGAGGTGGGAACGGATGGAAAACGGCAATACAAAGCAAGCATCCTATCCACCTGTAGAGTGTGGTGAAAACCATCATCTTCACGTCGCGACAAGCCCATGCACGGGGGAGGATGACAACCCACCGGAGTTTGGCATGGGACCTGTTTGGGTCCGTCATGTCGTTGGTTGGGACCTGTCGGTCAACGGGTGTGGCCTTTGGTCACGCTTCATCGGAAGATGTATGGAACACGTCCCACCCCCCAGGGATTTCCGAAGCGGTCCAAAGATCGATCGGTGCACGGTGCAACGCCCCCCACCCAGTCCTTCGGTCTCAGCTGCGCAACGTGTGCTGTTTGTCAGCACCTTAGCTGGCAGAAGCAGCCAGCAGAATCGTACTCAAGCTACATTGAAGTGCCAGTAGTGAGTCAGGCCAAAACACATAGTCCATACTGTTGAATCGTTGTTTTCTTCGTGCAAAACCAGCCCAAAGTGTGGCCTTGCCCTATCACAGGTCAATAAGTGTGGCTCAGTATACGGGTTGTACACATTTATCAAAGCTGTTCATGAATGTACATGATTGATCCGAGACCACTCATGATTGTCCGACGTTCTAATGCTTGTCCGACTTCTCAAGTGAGGCAGTCCCTGGTGGGAGTGTCCAATTTCTCCACCCACCCAGAGTCCCGAATCACCTGAACAACCTGAATCACCTCACCAAGCTGCCTTGCAAATCAATCCATACTCATTCAAGTTCACTTCCAGTCCCATAGCCATTCATGAAGTTTCTGGTTTCTGAGTCTGGCCGCGCTCCGCCAAGTGGCCGCGCGCAAGAAATCCTTGAGCGTCTAGCCTCCACTACGGACGCTTTTCGGAGACAGACCTCAGTTCACAAGGCGGATCGATTTGGATGGCTCTGTCGGTTGTTGGTCCGTTTAAGACTTGATCTATCCTTGGGTGGTTGCATCCACATTCTCAAGATTTGGCCTTCAATGGCTACGGCAAGCCACGGCGTGGCTTGCCAAAAGTCTATATATTATCCAAATCAACCACTTCACGAGAGACCAACCTGAAGGACACCGTTCAAGTGGACAACATGAATTCGGCCCTGACGCGCCGTCTCGTCTCGTCTCGTCTCGTCTCCTGCGGTCGCCACGTCTTGTCCGCTGCCTTCGAGGTGCCCGTCTTCCGGGCGATCGATCCTGAGATTTCGGTCCGGGCGGAGGGCAGGGCGATTTGACTGAGAGAGGGGACTCATCCAGACTCCCGACAGGACACCAAGAAAGAGAAGAACGGAGCTCATTTGGTCTTGACCCTACAGTGCAAAGCTTGAGCCCAGTAACAAAGCTTCGTCCAATCTCATGACTGCAAACTGCCTCCTTCCGCAATCTACTACTCCACTACTCCACTACTCCAACACCCACGGTCAGTCCCAAACCCATCCAAACCCCCCAAGCAGAGTCACTCCTTCCACCGACGCTCTCCCACCGAGCAGCCTGCCGCTTGTGGCTCGTGCTTGGGTCGGTGCCGCTGGTGAGCCATCGCCAACTTGTGCCCGCGTCGGTCCAGACCAGCGTCCCGGTCCAAGGAGGTCCGATCGTAGGGGCTGAGGGCCTCCAGCAGACCCAACAAGAGCAAGGGTTTTCATACGGCGAGGTTCTGTCTGGTTCACTTCACCGGTGTAAACTGAGGACTCCGATGAATCTGACACTTTCGCATGCATGACCGAAACTATAAAACACTTTAGACTTTAGGACTCATGACTCTTGCCAGGCCGAAATGCCGGCACTTGCTTAGGATAGTTCATCCTTGCAAGGTTGGGAGAAGAAGGCTTCCTCATCTCGAAAACCCGCCCGCACCGAACGTGCTGAGGCGTTAAAATGTGAGTAGTGCAGTGCATTGTCGCTATTTCGTTTTAGGTAGGGGGAACAGAAATGCATATTCTGCACCATGAGGTGCGTCTGGGAAAAGGAGTCTCAACCGTCGATTTTTCAAAATATGTTTCATGATTGCATCAAAGGCCTCAGCTGGCTGCAGTTTATTGTGGTAGCATATGCATCAGCTGCTTGCAAGTGCATCGCTTATTGCACAAAATGCTTGCAAATTCGTATAAGTTGGATCCCTGACAAATGTACACTTTCAAGGGAGTCGAAAAATATATCAAACAATGCTTGCAAACAATTTGTAAGAGGGTCGACAAATAGAGCGATTATAGGGAGACATGACTCAAGAGTTTCTACCAGGGTTCAACAATGGGGTGATTACAGTATAGACACTTCTCTATATGTGTTACATGCACTTCACGCTCCGTTGATCTCTAGGTTTTGCAAACATGAATTCGTTCGCTTCGACCCCTTGAAATTGTACATCTGTTCGTGTGTCCACATTCATTTGCAAGGATGGTTGGATAGGAAAAATATACGAACTAGTTCAATTGGGCCAAAAATAAAGTGCTTATTATAGATACCCTCGTTGATTGTCATCATCCACTTCATGCTGCGTTCATCTCTAAGTCTAAGTCTTGTCTCGATCATGCACACTGTATTGCACATTGTTTATTGTACATAATCACTCTATTTGTGGACCCCCTTGAAAATGTACAATCTCAAGGGGGTCGAAAAATAGATCCAACAAAGCTTGCAACATGCAAGTAAGACATAGAAACAATGTATCAAAGGGTCCAAAACTAGAGTTTCTATAGATTCTGTTTTACCGTCTCTCTGAGAGCCACTGGTGCGGGCGGTTGTCGTCGCGAAACAACCTGAATAGCCATGTCTGCTGGAACCTTGTCTCCAGGTTTAAGTGGATCCAGCATAAACCATCCATGGTCTTGAATTTGTTCGCATTTGTTCTATCTCATCTCGGCCCCATCTCCACCCGGTGCCTTTGGGCTCCACAGCGGCTCCTTCTTCAGCTGCCCGGCGCTTCGCGCGTGGCCCGTGGCTCCCCGCCGCGGCGGCGAGGGCAGCGAGGGCGTCTGGCACCGTCCACAACCGCTCCGCGCGGAGAGCGCGGCGAATCGAGGGACGTGGAGACGGAATCGCTCCGGAAGAGTGAGGGAGGTCCCGTTCCAATGGCCACTGATGCTTGGGACGATCGGGTTGGGAAGGAGTGACCGGAAGACGGGCCCCAGTGAGTGCCAGGGCAGATTCGCATTCTTGGATTGGAAGACGGAAGGATCGAGTCGATTTTATCTAGCAAATTTGAGCAACAACTCTGCATGAATTAATCACAACAGCAACCTCGTCACACCAAATCTTTGGAACAGCTCTTACAGAAGCCAAGAAGCCAGCTGCTCTCGGGTGCTTTCAGGAAGTTCATACTCGAAAATCCCCCTTGTCTGGAGTTCTTCGGTCGCTACTACTCCAGACTGCTCCACACTGACTTCACGGAACCCCTATTTTTCCAGGAAATCTTTCAGGTTTTTTCCGGGATTACTTTTTGCGTTTTTTCCCCTACTGTTTTTGCTTTTTGTTTTTGCTTTTGCTTCTGCTTTTGCTTTTTGCTTCTGCTTTTGCTTTTG